TGATAAAATTCGTTTTTCTGCAGTAGTCAACATACGTATGTGCTAACAAATTGTATTGGATTTCGAACATGGCTTTGTTTACAAAGCGAAAGAAGCGCGTCATATTAGAGTTTTTAATAAAATATGCTTAATTTAACAGTTATTTAACTAAAACATAATACAACGACAGCTAATTTCACGGTGATCTTTATTTTAAAGCAACAAATCGTGTTTCTGATTTGAGTGTGATCTTCAGGGATTGGTATATGTTGGTGAATTGAAAGAAAGGCTTAACAAACGTATTTGCGGCCATATATCAGTTATTAACCATAATACAACAGACATTGTTTATCAACATCCTTATCAGTCTGACCAATCCTTTCTATGCGAGTTCGCATTATCAACATATACCACAAGACTAACAATCCTCCTATGCAAACACCTTTCCGTAGACAAAAGGAAGACTAATGGACTACACCATTTGGTTGCAATTACAAAAGTGATGGCAATTTATATAGTCCTTCCTTTAGCTCGATAAATGTGATGCATATTTCGAGCTTTGCTCCTTATCGTAGACGCAACTATAGTCATCGGTATTAACACCATCTTCTCTTAATGATGTTTCCATTGACGACCTTTTATCATTTATACAAAAGCCATTGGGTATTCATCACAGCTGCAAGAAGATTAATTCACTACCTTTTTTGAAACTTCATTCTCAGTAGAACTCCGGTTTCAAACTACTACAACTCCGCAATTAAACAAATTCAATCAGCTATACTGTCGATATTGACGACCTCAAGTCTAAAACTTCTGATTGCACCTATGCTAGTGCCGAATTCATATATACTCAAGCTGGCCGTTTTTAATTGTGACCTGAACATTGTCAACAACACTTCTCTTCAATATGTGTAAACACAGCTTTACAATACTAATGGATTCAGTCGAGCATTACGCCAAGCAATGAGCTTACCGCCAAGCAAATGAGCTAAACGACAAACAGTGAGATAAACGCCAAGCAATTCGCTAAGCGCATACCAATGAGCTTAACGCCAAAGAGAAGACGTAGATACTATTTCCGAAAGGGTTAAGGCTATGAGGTTGTAAATAAAAATTAGAATTAAAACCGGAATGGGTGTACGAACACCTATGTTAAATATATCTTCAAAGACCAAAATACACCTGTTTTACTACCATAACACATATATTGTTTCAGAATAACATTGAATTTGTACAGACCGTCCAACCCCTCATGGATAGTCAAGGTCGTTAACCCCTCCCCTACCTAGTAGTACAAATATAGTTGCAATTGTGTAAATATCACCAGAATGAAACAAAAAATAAGTGTCCTTAAAATAATATCATATTGGTTTGAATGTAAAGTGCTCAAAGAACCCTTTTACTTAACTATAAACATCAATTTGTATCAAAAAATGAAAGTCGGGCTTCAGAGTTACTGTGAAATTAACAATTCTAGGAAAATGTAAATCCGATTTGGATACTGAAAATTTAAAAAATTTAAGCCCAAGTCTCTATCCTCTTGCAATACATTTTGTTGTAGCATACAATCATTTGACTACTAAACCCTTTAAATTATAAAAGTAAGAAGATGTGGTATGATTGTCAATGAGACTACTCTTCACAAGAGACCAAATGACACAGAAATTAACAACTACAGGTCATTGTACGGCATTCAACAATGAGTAAAACCCATATCACAAAGTTAGCTACCAAAGGCCCCGAAATAACAAATGTAAAACAATTTAAACGAGGAAACTAACGGCCTTATGTATGTGCAAAATAATGAACGAAAAACAAATATGATATAGAGCAACAAACGCAAATCATTGAATTACAGGCTCCTGACTTGGGACAGGCATATACAGAATGTGGCATGGCAGGGTTAAACTAGTGTGCTGGCGTCAAACCCTCCCCTAACATGGAACAATGATGCAACGACACAACACATGAACAAGCTATACAAAAAAATAAACGAAAATCAAATATAAGAAACAGCAATAAACGACAACCACTAAATTAAATTAGTATACCCCCATTATAAATCTCCAGACAAAGATACACATATCTTGGTTTAGGTAGGAATAGATTATACTTTGTAAAAAAAAAAAAAAACAATATGTTTAAACAATTTTTTTTCTGAAACTGACATCAACAAATTGCTAGATTTTTTTTAATTTATTGACAACATATTTGTTACGTTTGCAGGGCGTGTTTTTCAACAATCATCGGCAGTCCTATGAGAACTTATTGTGTCCCTCATTTTGCCGACATGTTCATATATTCACAGCAGCACATGTATATAGAGTATATATATCCCAGTTAATAAGATATTCCAGAGTTTGTTTTTCTGACCAGGATTTCCTTTATAGAAGGTTAATCCTCTAAACTAAGCTATTGAACTAAAGGTTACAAGTGGTGAAGTTTAAGACATTTCTTCGAGTTTTAACGGAGACTGTCTTGAGTTGGTTGACCGTAAAAATTCAGAACAAATTACCACGGATTTCAATTGTAACGACAATCCCGTCATCTTTTCCGCGATTGTGACATCATCACGTGAGACGTATCACTAGATCTGTAATACGGCAATACGACGGGTGTCACATTTGAAGCAAGTACTGCATACCCTTCCTGAGCACACAGATTAAACGCTGGGTTTTGGTTTGGTTCTTGCTGCCACTCTGTAGTATTCAATGTAGTGTTTTGTGAATTTGTTCGTCTTTTCGTAGTACCGTATATCGGGGTTTTTTCGCGTCGGCTTTTTTTTGCGATTTGATGACAAAATGGGCAAGTTAAATTTTCGCTGTGTATAACTTTCGCTGAATGGGAAAATACACTCGAAAAAATCACCGTATTGTATTGTTAAAGATGTAAACAAAATATATTTGATTGACTGACAGATAATCAATTACAAATAAATACGTGTTCTACAAACTAAAATACACATATTCGGATATCTTTCAAGAATCGTTTAAATCAAGTTCATTGCGGCATTGTAAACAATAAAGGTTCTGATCAAGTTTGTACTGGTATAATAGAGCATTTTGCAAGCAAATTTGTGTATATATCCATTAAATTGTGATTTATTTTAATTTAATTTTTACACTAAATGCAGAATGTTCGGGTTATGACAACAATCAATAGACGTCGGTAATGTCGAGTAGGTAACTAACATTTTTGAACATGTCACTGTCTGTTGTGTTGTTAAAAAGTATGATAAGCCAATTTAATTATTATTAAAACAGATATCGTAATTAATTACACACACTCTTGTGATCTTAACGATCAACACAAAAGACTGGTTTTATTTATAATGTAATTTCACCTTTACGGTGAAATAAGTTTACATATCAATTTTGTTTAAACTCGATAATTAGTAGTTTATTTATGAAACGTTTAAACAGCTGTATATTTAGGAATAGGCAGAGAAATTTACGCGGGGTCAAATTTTCGCGTTTCTGTAGGTGCCACGAACAAAGCGAAAATTAAACACACGCGAAAATAACCCGATATACGGTATTTGTTATTTTTGCCATGGCGTTGTTATTTGTCTCCGACTAATGAGTTCTGAATATCCCATTCATATCTTCCGCCTATTTTTTACTCATGCAACCACCTGAAAAGGTCCAATCACTGAAACATAAAGGGTGACTGGAGTAGGGAAATATGGCCACTTGGACTTCTACTTAGGGGCAGTTGAACCATTGCTTAGGGTGGGATTGATGTGTGCAGTGCAAAATACGCATTCATGTCCGCCAGGAAAAGGAGACGTACAATCTTATGCCTTGTGAATAGAGTATCAAGCTCTCTGTACGATATAGAATAATTTTGAAGGTTCGAACATTGGTCTGTTGCAAGGCTTAGTTTCTGTTCCATATCCAAATACGTTCATTCAAGTGACAATCCAGAGTTGTCCTTTTAATTCCAGTAGTCCTACCTTGCAAATCCCGCCATTTTTATCAATTACTTACAGCTAAACATGGAATATTTGTCACTAGACGTCATCTTGTGACAAGAAACAACCAACTAATAAATTCAAGCGCAAATATTGCAATAATGTGCCTCTTTCTAAAGAGGTCGGATCATTTTTTTTCTATTGAGGTACCGTTAAACATTAAGCGGTATTTATAAAAGTTTTTGTTATCTAAACGCGTAAGATTGACGATTTTGCCACCAAGGTCAGATAATGGCTTTGTTGGTAAACGCTCACTCTATAAATAATACGGTACATCAGTTATTTGATTATACGATTAATCGTAAAATGTCTTGCTGAATATTTGTACTCACATGAGCAACACAACGGATGCCACATGTGGAGCAGGATCTGTTCAACCCTTCCGGAGCAACTGAAACACCCCTGTTTTTGCTCAGTCTCAGTACAGTTGTTTGTATTTGGTCGTTAAAATTCTTCGATGAAGATATTGCATTTTATCATTTGAATATTTTTCACTTCTGAAACTTACATGTAGTATCTGAGTCACATGTTGGTTTGTTGGACACATTTGCCTTTTAAAAAACAACCTTGTTATGAGTTACTTAGTTCGAATGCAACTGAAACGATGTATTTGAAAAGGATGATATTTGTACTTGTTATAGTTAAATATCTTTTTGATTTAAAAATTATTCTAGAAAAATCATTTTAAGCATTGCATGCCATAATTCTCTGTTGATTTAGTGATGAATTTTTGAATATGCCAGTACAGTGATAAGGCTGTAAATAAACTCATCATAGATACCAGGATAAACATTTTGTATGCCAGACGCGTGTTTCGTCTCCAAAAAAAAAAAGACTCGTCAGGGACGAGCGAATCAAAAAATTTACAAATACCAAATAAAATACGAAGTTGAGGAGCATTGAGGACCAAAGATTCCGACAGGTTTTACAGGTAAGGTAAATTACAAAACAATGTATATCAAGGGTTGAAAATCCTGAGTAAGTGTCTACCAAATGTCAATGCAGTTTAATTTGGAATAAAAAAACACAAGGGTACATAATCCCTAAGTTTGTCGAATGTGAAGCAAGAGAGGCGAAAGATACCAAAGGGACATTCAAACTCATAAGTCGAAAACATACTAACAATGCAATGGCAAAAAACAAAAAACGACGAAAAGACAAACAACAGTACACAAAACATGCAAAACACAACATCGAAAACTAAAGACTGATCAAATCGAACCCCAACAAAAACCAGGAATGCTCCAAAAAGATAATTGACGTTAACATCTGTCCATCAATTAAATATCCTTAAACTTTACGTTCCGCTATTAGATGATGTTCTCTCACTAAATAATACAAAATTTGGTGACTATGTTGAACGAATCTATCCTATCGAACTAGAGATAAAGGATACTACAGATACAGTTAAGTCTGCCTCATATCTTGACTTACATCTAGAAATTGACAATGAGGGTCGTTTGAAAAGAAAACTTTACGACAAAAGAAATGATTTCAGCTTCCCATTTGTGAACTTTATATTTCTATGTAGCAACATTCCAGCAGCGCCTGCATATGGAGTATATATCTCCCAATTGATACGATATTCCCGGGCTTGTATTTCCTATCATGATTTCCTTGATAGAGGATTGCTGCTCACAAGGAAGCTATTAAAACAAGATTTCCAAATGGTGAAGTTGAACTCATCCCTTCGTAAATTTTACGGACGCCATCACGAGTTGGTTGACCGTTATGGAATGACCGTTTCACAGATGATATCGGATATGTTCCTTATGTCGTAACTACAATACCCTTCCCTTTTCACGAATGTGACCAACCGAGTTAGACTATTTACCGGATTTGTAGTAACATAAGCAACACGACGGGTGACACATGTGGAGCAGGATCTGCTTACCCTTCCGGAGCACCTGAGATCACCCCCAGTTTTTGGTGGGGTTCGTGTTTCTTAGACTTCAGTTTTCTTTCATGTCTATGTTGTGTCATCTGTACTATTTGTCTGTTTGTCTTTTTATTTTAGCCATGGGGTTGTCAGTTTGTTTTCAATCTATGAGTTTGAATGTCCCTCTGGTATCTTTCGTCCCTCTTTTAAGCAATTTTATTCTATATAACACCTTCGTGGAAAGTAAGTCTTGACGTTTTACCAATTTATAAATCTCTTGTAGTTCTCTGTAATATAGATAATATAGATTTGCATGTGGGTACCTTAATCAACATTGTGAATTATTATTATGCATTATTATTCATTATTATTATTATTATTATTATTATTATTTTTTTTTTTTTCATCATCATCATCATCATCATCATCATCATCATCATCATCATCATCATCATCATCATCATCATCATCATCATCATCAACATTATTATTATTATCATTATTATTATTATTATTATTATTATTATTATTATTGTCATCATTATTATTATTATTATTATTATCATTATAAGTAGTAGTATCCTTATTATTATTTTATCATTGTTATTCTTTTTGTTATCATAATCGTTATTAGTATGATTAGAAAAATAAAATTAATATAATTGAAATAGCTATATTACATATTTTGAAATTGAAATTTTAATGCAATGGCAAAAAACAAAAAAAACGACGACAAGACGAAAAGAAACAGTACACAAAACACAACATAGAAAAATAAAGACTGATCAACACGAACCCCACCAAAAACCGGGAATGCTCCGAAAAAGTAATTGACGTTAAAATCTATCAAATAATTAAGCAATTTTATTTTGTATTAGTTATTATTAGCATCCTTCTTATTATTTTATTATTATTATTATTATTGTTATCATAATCATTATTTTTATTATCATAATAACTATCATTATTATCTTTAATTTAATTGAAATATCTATATTACATACAATAAGATTGAAATTTTAATATTAACATATTTGTTATAGCCTTTGTTGGTCGTGTCAGTTTTTTTTAATATAAGTTCATTTGTACGTTTTGTAATTTTGTGTGGTGTCCATTTCGCTTAACTAGTATACATTATTGTTTAGGGGTAAGCTGAAGCCCGACTCCAGGTGTGGGATCTTCTCACTGCGTTGAAGACCTATTGGTGGCCTTAGGATGTTTTCTGCTCTTTGGTCGGATTGTTGTTTCGTTGACACATCCCCTGTTTCTATGTTCTATTCTATTGGAATAAGATTATTAAGAATTTCCATTACATAAACATAACCGAATATGTCGCTGTCTACTACTCGATGTTTATGCATTAATATGTTTTGTTTTGTTGCCATCTTAAAAGATATTTATAGGTCATGTAAATGCATTGTTATTTCAGGTAATTGAGATAACGAAGAACCAGATAGCAAAGAAATAAACAAAGAACTCGGGTAACTTCTAACATATCAAGGTTGCGGATAATCAAACCCACATCATGAATATGTTTTGTAAATATATTGCCGTACACCTGAATTAACCTACAATAATAGGATTTATTTCCCTTCGCTCAGTAGTTGCACTAGTCCACAGCAATAAGTTGCTGATTTGCAACAATTTTTCTTATGCTAAGATTGTTTAAACATGGTTTACATAATTCGCACAAAATGTAAAATTGAACTCGACCGAGTAATAAGCAGGAAATGACTTTTTCGATCTGCATACATGCAACCAATGATGTGACTCAAGTTTGAGATTGATTGAGCATGCGCAAAGCATTTATATGGGTATTTCTATATAAAAATAAGGAGATGTGGTATGATTGCCAATGAGACAACTATCCACCAGTGGTTAAATAAAGTGGATGTAAGCAATTATAGGCAACAGAACGGGCTCCAACTGTCAGGAAATCCCATTCCGTATAGTTGGCTATAAAAGGCCCCGACAAGAAAAATGTGAAACAATTCAAACAAGACAAATTCTGTTACCTATTCTAATATCGAACTCGGACTTCTTTTAAAATGAGTTTTACTGTGCGTATTGCTGTGTGTTTGTTTATTCTACATTGGCTAGAGGTATAGGGGAAGGGTTGATAATTCACAAAACTTGTTAACCTTGCCGCATTTTTGCGCCTGTCCCAAGTTAGGAACCTCTGGCCTTTGTTAGTCTTGCATGTTTTGAATTTTGGTTCATTTATATGGTTCGGAGTTTAGACATACAATTGAGAATTTTCTATTTTTGATTAGGGGTCAGCTGAAGCCCGCCTGCCGGTACGGGATTTTCGCACTGTGTTGAAGCTCCATTGGAGGCCTTGAGCTGTTTTCTGCTGTTTGGTTGGGTTGTTGTCTCTTTGACTCATTCCCCGTTTCCATTCTCAATTTTATTTTAATTAACGGCCTAAATCATAACAGAACAATTTACGAAAAAAAAATATAACAGACATGAACCAATGACAACCACTGATCTACAGACAAACCAACCCCTAACCATGTGTCTTAGTCCTTTATAATACACGAATAACCGATGACATATAAGGATGTATTTTCTACCAAAGATAAAGATTAATAAAACAGGGCATAGAGGCATATGACTTATTTTCAAGTAATTTTGCATAATAATTATTGTTTGAAAACTAAGGTAAAATTAGTTTTCGCGCTTATTTTGCATTAATTTTACCGAATGAAATGTTTACACTGATAACATGTTTTAAATGCTTAAGTAATACATATGCTAATGGATGACTTTAAACGTAATTCAACATTCAAAGGAACTAGACCAGAAAACTAATTGAGTAATGAAAACTACTTACGTTTACAATATGCAGCACTATGTTGTCTACCTTTGTCGTAAGATATATATCGAGATGCACTCCGGCATCTGCAAAAAGCTCCACAAAATGTTTTTGAAGGTACTATGAAAAAAAATAATAAAATTTGATTTTCTGTTTTGACTACAAAATTTGAATTGAGTACTGAATAAAGTTTTATGCCCGAAAAGCAAGGTGTTTAGAGGAGAGTGACACCAGTTCTTGCACCACTTGTGCCATATGTTGTGCTATTTTACGTTTGCTTTTCAAATGATAAGTACATTCATAAAACTTGTTTTTCAAATGATAAGTACATTCATAAAACTTGCTTTTCAAATGATAAGTACATTCATAAAACTTGCTTTTCAAATGATAAGTACATTCATAAAACTTGCTTTTCAAATGATAAGTACACTCATAAAACTTCAGGTTTGTTTCTAATTTTCTATAGTATGATATTTACCTTTGAAGGTCATTTTTCAGGAAAACCTATTTTAAGGTAGCGTTCTTTTTGTTGTGTGGGTTGTAATGATATGCAGCCACGTCAGGGAATTGATTCCTTACTTTACGCATATTTACATTATGTCAAACATTTCATCGAATGCTTTTCATACTATCAAATAACATTCACTCATCATAGATATCAGACTAAACAGACTAAACATCAGGAATCTGATTACAGTAGTTGTCGTCTGTTTATGTAGTTCATACGTGTTTCTGGTTTCTCGTTTTTATATAGATTAGACCGTTGGTTTTTCCGTTTGAATGGTTTTACAATAGTAATTTTTTGGAGCCCTTTATAGCTTGCTGTTCGGTTTGAGCCAATGCTCCGTGTTGAAGGCCGTACCTTGACCTATAATGGTTTACTTTTATAAATTGTAACTTGTATGGAGAGTTGTCTCATTGGCACTCATACCACTTCTTCCTATACCTATGGACTCATCAGAGTCGCCAGGAGAGAAAAAGTTTAAAATGCCAAATTAAGTACGAAGTTGAAGAGCATTGACGAATATATACTAGACCCTAATATGGAAAACATGTACTTATGGATCTTTTATATAGATTATTTATAATGCAGAGTTCATAAGACTTAAATAATTCAAATAACACCAACTCATACATTATGCAGTTATTACCGTGGATTCAGTCATTTTCATTGGTTCCAATTTTCAAAAATTGAAGACAAAAATACTTTTTCGTTGATACTTGATTACGTGGTTTGCCGAAGTTTACATACAGTTTGATGAGAAATGTTTATCTTGTTGGATATAAAAATTCGTGGTTAATCTATACCCACGAAATCCACGAAAATTAGTACCCAGCGAATTATAATTTATTTATAGTAAAGTTTCCTTAATGTCATACTCACTGCATTGATATTCAGCATAGAAGCTAACTTTATGACTGTGGGCACAACCTTTGTAGAACAGAGGCAATTTCCCGAATAGTTTTCTACTGGTATGTCCTGTACATTCTTTTTTGTATTCGCAATTTTTTTTAGTGTGCGCCAAAACTTTCGCATGAGCAACTTGACATTTGAGTTTTCCTTTGAATCGTATATTAGCCGGTCGACATGGTAAGCTTCCATACTTAGCAGTTTTTATTCTAATTGAATATATGTCATCACAGTATATTCTAATAGGCTCCGAAGGACAAAACCTCTGCCAATAATCTATCTTCCGAGCTGAAACATTAAATTTTGTTTTTTTTTCATACTATTTATGTTGGGGTTTTCTTTGTATAGTATTTGCTATCAATTTTTGCACGATTTGAAGAACTATCTACTACTGTGATAAAAATGGACACAAAGAAGCAATTGTTGAATATATATCAAAACCTCCCCTGGAAGTGTTTAAGGAAGGGAGACTTTAATCAACTCTTGACATAGGTAAAAGGAATATGGTCATACTGGCCATTTTCCGACCTGTGGGAAAAGAACAAAAGTGAGGGCATTAGTATCTCTTAACGGTATGTAAAAATTCTAAGTCGGGTCCGGTTTGAATAGGGACGATAGATTCAATGTTTTGTATGAGAGTGTGTCATGTTCTTTGCACGTTAAATAACACTTTAAACACTATTGGAGTTCGATATTTTTGTTAATACTTTTGTAAATAAGCGTCATTCACAGTTCAAAACAGTGTCTTATATCAAACAGGAGCATGCACAGAGATATTTGCGGATAAGAGGTTCTTACCTGTAAAGTCCGTGTTAATGACACAAACAACATGATTTATTTCTAATATAAATTTTTCGAAACTAGAACATCAATTCATTGGGTGCATAATATCAAATTCAGAACAGACAATGAAATGCACACAGAGGATGAAACTTGACCTTATCATTCAATAGACTATATGTCGCAGAGTTAGTGAGAATGTGTAACCTCAATAATTATTTATCTGTCACTATGCATGAATTGTGTATTGTTTAAAAATACACAACCATTTTGATGGCAGAATGTTAAGTATTTCATGTCTACTTGGATGTTAATTCTTCTAAGCTTAATAGCAAACCCATTACAGTGTTCTAAACAATGAACATGATCAATTAAAATACACTATATGTCTGCAAATCGTATTTCTAAACGTAAAGCTTAATGGTTCATATGGAGATTTTTCATGTACTTCCAGGCAAAAAAACAGTCATTAAAGACATCAGGATAACAATGTTTTACTCCAGACGCGCGTTTCATCCACAACAGACTCATCAGTGACGCTTGAATCAAAAAAGTAAATAAGGCAAATTAAAGTACGAAGTGAAAGATTTTGCCAAATACAGCTAAGGTTATCTATTCCTGGGGTAGAAATATTTAGTATTTCGAAAAAACAATGTTTTGTAACGTCAAAACAGAAATGCTGACTACTGGGCAAACAAATTCCTTTTATGTCAGGCGAAATAATTTAAGTGTAATTATAAAAAAATATTTTTATTTGAAAGTGATATCTGCGATAGAAAAAAACCAAACTGGTATCAAAGCATAACAATTTTCCTTGCTTTTCAATCTTTTAACTGTTTATATTGAGCAAACGTTATTAAATACACACACAAAACATTTTTACAAAATATCGTGCATGAAAAAAATAAACAATTATTGATCTTATGTCTTCATGCTCATATTGATACGTTAATAATAATACATTTCTAATCCGATTATACACGTTGACTATAGCATTTAATTGTTTACATACCTTTACATTTTCTCATGCATTCTGGAAAGAAAATTACAAACCATTGATAAAGAATATTATTTAATATAGAAAATTACAAACTAATGATATATACTGTTAAATTAAGATAATTTCAAACCATTGATATTATATATTTATTTAATAAAGATAATTAAAAACGATTGCCATATAATATTATATAATAAAGAACAATTCAAACAATGAAGATATATTACATCAGACACTTAAGCAATTCAAAAAAGAAATGTTTTCATAAAATATTTTTAAAAGAGTACCAATATATTATCATACGTAGTATATATATAAAAATCAATGAAATGTTAAATGTTTCCCAAACTATATATCTACCAGATCCAAAAGAACAAACACGTATAGGTCTCGTTTCTGCCTTCTAGAATTTCGCATATCTTATACCGCATAACAGTTTATAAAAGGTATAAAGGGTATCAGAGAAATCGATAGGCCTGATCTATTATATAAATAAAATATGAAAATGGCATATAGAAGACAACAACCAACGACAACCACTGAACTATTGGATCCTGAGTTGGGCCAGGCACATTATAAATGTGATGGGGTTAAACATGTGTGCGAGTGATCAACCTGTTCATAAGCTGAAACTGTTCAACATTAGTAAAACAGTATAAATCAGATTAAAAGTGATTGACTCATCAAATCGGCATCCATATTATTCTCCTATTATTACTCTTTGCCAAGGAACGTTAAGCGTTCGTCCTTCATCAAACAATAATTTAGATATTTTTATGTTGGTCATAGCAAAACTATCTACATCTGGAAATGGTCCAGGTGAAAAAAACTTGCGTAAACACATGATATCCTAGTCATTTTAAGCATGTAAAGTATGCAAGTCTGTAATTATAAGATTTCTTTATTCTGTGCATCATTCATTGCTGTTATCAATTACCTTATTCTTTTATTTTCCACAGTTATTCTTTATACTTTTACACCCAATTATTTTCAATTCTTTAAATTTTTGGCATTATAATAGAGATAACTGAATTGTATTTGAAGCTTTTTAGCTCCTCTATTTTTTTTTCTTCCATTATTCTCTATTTAGTAAACCCCATCTAGACCCTCATGTCAAATAATCATCTGATGGATATGATTTGGTAGATTTATAAAACCTTTGTATCAAATGAGCCACCATATGACGTTATCATACGTTTCCCCCTTAAAGATTTTGATCAATTAAGAGTCAGTTATGAATACAAACAAATATACGCCGAGAAATAACACCAAAAAAATCTACAGAAAGAAACCTAGATGTCAGCATACGGTCAATCATTTGGTATTTGATTGGAATTATTTGAAGGTTGATTATTAGAGTTGCATTGAGAAAATCTACTCAAAAATATTGTTAAAGAAATCATTAAACATGAAATGAAATCATAGATCGGAGACTTTGACTTTTTCTTGACATTAGCAATCGTCATTTAAAAAAAAAAATAGAAATTCAGTTTAATCTTAGTAACCAGTGTTATAAATTAATTCCTTACCAAGGTGGCCATAATGATTGCCAGAACGTCTTTGTCCTCCATGCCGGAAGTTGTTATTGCGTTCACCATATTGATCAGAATAATGACAACCGTACCCAAGGACGACAGCTAATACAACCGTTAAATGTAAAAGTCCCATTCTTTCCTTGAGAAAATGTGCAGCAGATGCCTACGGCAAAAAAGGTGTCCACAAATATATACTCAAGTTGTGATGTATAAGTAATGTGTTTGCATATTGTCCTACATATTGAACTGAAGAATTATGATGTAAATTCTGTCAGATGGAAAATAGATCAAAAAGCTTCCGGAAATAACATTAAGAAATACGATTTTTGATTTAGAAAATATAGACGGACATGTACTGTATGTATAAAAACAGAATTAAAAACATGTATGTTTGTAATAAGCGATGTTATTCATTGTTATTGATTACACAATATTTATGAGTCACTATTTTAATAAACAATATTTTCAGTGCTAATTTTTCTACAACAAATGTTTAACAACATTCTAAAACCAACGATGTTTAGACTATCCTGGAAAAAAAAATTCGACTCGAATGTATCAAATTTCAAGTACGGTGCCGGACCACCTTTAGCTAGCTGAAAGGTATGATATCTGTTAACTTATTTGTTTTTGCCCACACTGTAAGAAGATAAATACACATATTACTTTTTTCGACTGTAATATATAACATCTTTTCCACCGTTCAAGATTAATGATAAATTAGGTAAATGATGATCCGAGTGATAAGAACATCTAATTTGACTAAATTTCTCATTCTCATGAATGATGGTAACACGGGGATTACAATATAAGTAATTTTTTGTGAACTGTCCTAGCACCAAAATCAATAGGACTGTTCTGTGGATACCGAAAAAAGTTAACTGTAGACAGGTCTGCTACCAGTCCTGCACAAAGTTTACCGACGAAGAAAACTCCTATTGAACCAGACTTATTTCAAAATTAATCATTTGTCTAGACTATTGTAGCTCCACTACAAGTTAATGTATTATCAGGACCGCTTGGCATCGATTAATAAATTACTTTCAACTGTCATTTTCACGATATGAATTGTACAGTGGGCCAAACACTTTGATTCAACATCAGAACAAACTGTAAACATTAGTTGGTATTTGTTTGAAGCACTAGCAATAATTTGGAACGAAGCCCCAAAACAACTATCAAAAAGAAGAAAGACCGATCTACTCGCATTTACTGAAAGATACTCAAAAGAGAACAATAACTAACGAATCATTTTCTCCTAGATTAAAGTATTAATCATTACACATTCAATGGATTTGATGTAAACGCTTATAAACAGTATAGCAAAACTAGACTTTGTGCAATGACAAAACATAAATTGTAGTAAGTTTGCACACTTTAACATTGGTAGTGCACTAGTTACTAGAAAAACACTTATTAATGGGTAACTAATAATTCAGGGAAATAACACCAAATAAAATCGTGCGACAAAACAGCATTTCTGGATCTACTTTCACCACGAACCCTTTGCATTTGAAAGCCAAAGAAAGCTGTCTGACCAAAACGGACCTAAAACTAATAGCTAATTTTTTCGAAGTTCAAATCAACCTGGACACTTTGAGAGTTTTATGAACGTCATTATGCAGCGATCAATCGTTAATAACATCTCGTGCGAGTACTGTTAATTCAAACGTTTCTAAAAACGGATATGCAATCAAAGCAATGATAGAAGACTTATTGGTTCAATTTGGTTCACAAGACATCCGTCTACTCTATAAAAATTGTTGGAAGGCCATATCAAGAACGAAGTTGCAGAGCATTTCACAAATTAAACAACATCCATTAAATTGTGCCATATACGGCTACTATAATCTATACTTAGGCTAATGTTACGAAAGGAGATCTAGCCAAACTTATTCATGGTCAACCTTGCATGAAGGAGTGGCAACTTCAGTTTCTTGATAATTTCTAAAGTAATGAACAAAAGTAAAAACGAAAAAGAAACATTATTTAGCTAAAACGTTATATTTTTTTTAAAATTGAACGGCATTAGACTGTATTTTAATCGATTGATATCACACTACAAACTCCAAATATTGCTGTTTCTAAAAGTATGTTAGATCTAAAAAAAAAAAAGAATTTCCTTATTTCTGCTAAAGACCATACAGTCAAATCACATAGCAAAGCTTTATCATAACACTCAATAATTTTTCTGTCCTCGACCCCAATTACTAGGGTTTCTGTCCTCGACCCCTATTATAAGTGTTATATCATCGAGCAAATTAATAATATATCCTCGAACCCTATTATTAATGCTTCTTTCCTCGATCAGAATATACAAGATATATCATCAATCCCAATCACAAATGTTTCTGCTCTCGAGCCCAATCCTTTATGTTTCTTTCCTCGATCCTAATTACTAATGTTTCTATCCTCTACCTTACTTACTTATGTTTCTATCTTCGACGGCCCGAATTAATAATCTTTCCTCGTCCCCAATTACTCAGACGTTGCGCACGATGTTGGTACCAATTCCATTTTGCTATAGATTAGCATAAAATAAATACGTAACTGGTCAGTTCGATAAAAAATACAGTGATTTCTGATTGAATTCATCACATTAGACTTGAAATTAAAGAAAAAAAAGGAACCGAAATTTAAAATACCAGGAATTATAACACTTAATTATCCTATTTTTACGCAAAAACCTAATATCCAACGTTTCATTCTGTGTGCAAAAGATCAGAGTTCCGTTTCTTTCCTACGGTATTTTTTCTCCGATCATCGTAAAACTTCACAAGAATATTGCTATTGTTATAATTACAAATGTATTCGCGTGTTAAAGCAAAATCAATATCACTGAAACTGTAATCCGGAAAATGTTATTTTTGTAAACGGTCTGAAAAATGTCCAAGCATATGCAAGGTAAGTATATTTCGGATTTGCGCATTTATACCGTGAAATTGAAAAAGCTGAGAGGAAAAATATTTATTATATACGTTTTTTTACTTTTCTCCTGGTTCATGATATTTTTTTGCCGGAAACCATGCGTATAGTTTCTATTGCAATGACTTCAAAAAGTATAGCCATCATGTCCCAACGAAAAGAACGCTGTATTTTCTTTAAAATTGAGGTTTTAACCAGCTGTCTATCAAATAAGCATAGTTAGATCATAGAAAATAAAAACTTGGCGGTTAAGGTTTTTCTGTTTTTCTCTTTAAACAATATAGTGTTTAATATTTTTTCGTTAGGCAACAAGGTTTTTAAATCGTTTCAAAAAGTAAAGCCGTTTTGTCCCAACGTTCGCAAAACGTAATTGATGTCATGCTCTGGTTTTTAATTTTATATCGTAATTATTTATTTCCAGTTTAATTCGAATGAAAATAAAAATATATGTATGAATTACACTACAACCAATGTATGAGAAAGGAATAGTTTAAGTTTAAATTGTTGACCAAATGAGATGATTTTAAAAAAATATCGGGATCTTAGGTTTTTTATAGCATATCTGTTTTATAGGAACATCATAAATTTAATACTAAACAGAAAACAATAAACTTGCGGAAAAGATGGTATACCGCAAACAAAAGGTGCAAATTTTTGTACACCATATCCGGATTTCGACAATTAATGTCTCTTCAGTGATGTTAGGAATCCAACGGTATTTGGAAAGCCATACAGTTTACCTCAATTTAGGATAGGCTCTTGAATTTTGAGGAGTCAAAAAAGGATGAACGGATCATATAAACTCGAAGGCAAATATAATACAAGCCAAAACGAAAAAATATAAACAAGTCTAAATTGAAAACAATGTTCTATATAATAAAAACTATCACACAATTTTCCGTTTCTTTGCCTATATTAAATATAATTCGTCTAAATAACAGCCCAACAATGTTACATCTGTAAATTTGCGGAAGCAAATTTTTGTTCTTCCCTGGCGGGGATTATATATCAGTATTTCTTTCAAAATAAAGTATTGTACTATTAACGAATCTTATATCTTTGAATATGATATACTTCAGTATCTTATAATGAAATTTGCATTACGTATTTCCTGGTAAACCAAGACATTTAAAATACAGATTTTACATTACAGATGCCTTTTATATTATCAATTTTAATCAACTCATTATAGATACTAAGCTTAACATTTTATTCACCAGACGTTCGTTTCATCGAATAATGTATTCTGTCAACTGGTCATCGATTGTGAATAACTGAATGCGAACTTATTACCAGTTTGTCTTGTCAAGAGAACAACAGCATATAATAGACCAGGAACTGTTACAGTATGGAGTACCATACTTGACCCCTGTTTTTCATTTCTTTCTTCGTCATTTCTCTTATTTGTCTCTGTGTTGTCTTCTTTTTGGTCATCGTGTTGTATATTTGTCTCTGGTTTATGGTGTAAATCATGGTATCTTTTCCCCTTTCTTCGCCTGTATTAAATCGAAACCTAGAAGACACCTGTTATCGTCTAGACGTATAGATATTACAAAGTGTTTTACCTTTATTGCAGTCTGTACAATTCCCTAAGTATTCCAGATATTCATTTGAAGATTTGTCAGGATATCTAAGGTTTAGTATCCACTGTTCTTGTTTTTTTCCTTTTATCTAAACAAGCTTTATACATTCTTTCAATCTGTATGATTGTCAGTCCAAGAACGTCATTTGAGATAATCATTCCTCCATCGAAAGATTGGTAAAGTAAGTGCGAATATTTCCGCCTTCCACGGTTCGAAAACTTTTTACACCGTATAAATCTCAGTACTTGAGTTTTCGGATTTCAAATAAATTTCCATCGCCATAATTGTCTGGATTCAAGGCGTTACCGTTCATGATACCTGTAAAATAAATATGATTAGATTATTCAACTCATGGATTAACTTTGTGTGCAATGAATTCAAAATTATATATTACTTTACAATATATAACATAATAATCCATTTAAAATGTATCATTCCAGGTTTGCAGCTTGGTGTCTACATTTTAGTTACGTCTTATTATACATTTGTTGTTAAGTTTCAAATTACGTTTTAACATAAATGTATATAGTAATGTTTTATAGCTTAAGTTGACAGTATTGCATCGAAAAGTTATATTTCTGAGGTTTAGTTTCTAATATATATGAATGAATCTCAATTTAAGGTACTGTTGAACAGCTTTCAACAATGAGCAATACTCATAGTGTATAGGCA